GCGTGGTTGCCCGAGCTGCTGTCCGACCCGCCGCTGCTGCTGCTGTTCGACCCGCCGCTGTTGCTGCTGCTGTTCGACCCGCCGCGCCTGCCCTTCTTCGTGCTGCCGCCGGAGCTGACATGCGTGCTGTCTCCAGAGTTGTTGGGAGGAGCGTGGTTGCCTGAGCTGCTGTCCGAACCGGCGCTGCCGCTGCTGTCTGACCCGCCAGGGAACCTCTTGGCGTAAGAGGCGAGCGTGGAGTCCTGCAATCGAAGACGAGTGAGCCAACTGGCACAACTTTTTGAGCCGCAATGTGACACGTACAGTGTTGCGGGTAGCGAGCGCGACCACATCGTCCCTGGACGCTAGCGCCAAGGGACCCGGGGTTGGGAGCGCAGTAACGCTGATAGTGGTGAGAACCATAACAAGGGCGGCTGTCATACGGAAATGCATCGTGAAATCTGGCGAAGGATTTCAGTCGACTTGGTACGGGGCCGGAATAAATGGCAGTACTCACCGTAGTTGACAATCAATATCCAGGGGAAGTGGAAGGAGGGAATGAGAGAGAGAAAGAGAAAGAAAAGAGGAACGAAAAGCAGAAGGAAGGCGAACTGGACACTCAATGTCTGGGGAATAGTGGATCGCAGCCTCGAGACTTTATACTCGTGGGGGTAGAGCCCGACATCATGGATTGATGTTCCACCGAAAGTAACGGATGCAGTTGGCATACGCACGCGTGTTGCTTGGCTCATTTGTTGGAACCTTCCCGCTTCCGAGTTGAGTATCCCGAATCAGGGGATAGGTACATCGACGTAGATCCTGAAATGTTGAGCTCTGTCGAGGTCGATCTCAAAATTCAGAATGATACGTGGACATACCACTGGAACACAATGACCGAACGTATATGCCACGTATAGGCAACCGAAGAGTGCTATGACTCCGTCTGTGCCGCAATACCCTACGGGTCCAACGTGCAGTCAGACCTCAAGGTCTTGACTGGTAAAGCAAAGACTGATGGTGTTGTTGTCGCACCTGGAGGACGACATAGGCTGCATATTTTGTACAGGTTGCCCAATTGGCGAGAGCTTCGACTTCTCTCGGATGGTAGAGGCACAACCGGAGGCAGGAACATCAAGATCGATGGTTGCGACCGACTCCCCGACCCAAGACCACCGGCGCGAGATTGGCTGAGAGCAGTGAAATTGAGGCGCATGCACCATTGCTCCCTGCTACACATGTGAGATAAAATGATGGAATATTGGTGTCACACAAGGCGAGGCAAGGTAGAGGCGAAACGGATACTATTCTGCTGATAAAGGCAACCGGGTGCTGTTGTGTGAACACGGCGGCTGATGCTGATGAAGAGAGTCAGGCAGTCAGCGCACCTCAGTCGATTTTGATTGCAGTATAGAGCAGTACAAGCTGTGTGAGTGGGACGTACGAGCACGTGGCGGTGCCATTTGAACTGAGCGACCTCTTGTCTCGTACACGTCGAGGCGTCACGTTTACCGTACTCTGCGAAGGATATCTCCTGTTGGTTCGCTGGATGTGTCCCAAACGCTTCAACTCCCTGGAAGAGGTTGAAGTGGGCAATACATGTGAATTATAGGTCTACGAGGCATACCCGGGACTGAACTGCATCTTCTTCCCTGAGTACCACTAGACTCCGTAGTGACTCAGCCTGCCAGCAAATTCCTCAAAGTCCGCAGGAATGGGGGCCTATCTGAAGAAACGTTCATGAATATGTCGACAGAGGGATCACTTATCAACCATTGCGTCGAGATATAAGTCGAGAAGGAGACGGCCAAAAGTTGAGGACGTCGTGTTCGGACAAAGGCAGACTGAGACTCGTTCCCGTCACACCGGCAGATTCCGAGATGAACTCAAGCCGGACTCCTCGCCTGTCTTCGTCCTTCGTCGCCTTCGAGCGTCGTGACGCCGTCGTCCAGTCCACGCATTTAATTCTTATATATATGATCATTCCATATTACCTGCTCACCGATCTCTGACGAGGTGCTCGAACTTCAAGACGATCATGACGATGGGTGACTTGGGGAGGGGAGACAGTGCGTCCCTCATCAATCACTCACCCTACGTTTCGAACCTGACGATCGTATTGCTGACGCTGCTCTCGCCGCCTTCGGTTTCCTCTTCAGACGCACGCGATTCTGCTTCACTCGCAACAGAGTCGCTCATGTTGGACTGGTCTAGCAGACGCGCAAAACGGCTTCCGATCGTCTCAAAAATTCGCAGGAAAGCCGAGCCCCGGAAACGAATGAGCACCGAAGCATTTCTGTGAGGATAGATGCGGGCTTAAGAAACTACCCTCACGATAGGTGTGCGCTTCGTCTTGAACCCGTATGGGGTGCAGCCTGCCCTGTGCTTGCGACTTCATCATATCGCTTGCCATCTTTCCACTTCGACCATACCAAAAATGTCCTATCCTTCCACAATCAAGGCTGTCGGTATCCAGCAGACGGGAGGCGTCAAAGTCATTGAAAACGTTCGGCTGCCTTTCCCTGAAGTCAAGCCCAACGAGCTGGTGATCAAGGTAGGCTACCCGGCTAAGTATCGGACGAGGGAAAACATACGATTTTCCTGGGTTGAATGGGTTGGAGTAAACTTCGTCGATACAATTATACGGTGCGATGATACGCATCTGGTCTTCGCTTCGCCATCGCTGACCGATGAGTTGTCACCCATCCCAGATCGGGGCTGTATACGCCAGCCTATCTCCCCCTTCCCGTCGCAAATGAAACGTCCGGTATCATCGAGGAGCTGCCCAAGGATGAAACTGTGCTATACAGTGATGCGTTCAAGAGCCGGGGCTTCAAGAAGGGCAGCAGGGTGGCACTCGTGAGTAATTAGACGTTGACCGGATGGAATAAACGGAATATCTGATCTCAAGATTGCACCGAAGGACACGTATAGTGTACTACAGGAGTATGACACTGTGCCATGGGACGGCAACATGTACGCCCTGCCCGACGATGTCTCTACCCGGCTAGGCGCGACCGCGCTTCTCCAAGGCATCACAGCTCTCGCGCAGGAAACAGAGTCGTACGAGGTCAAGAGAGGCGACAACGCTCTGGTCTACACTGTTGCTGGTGGCGTCGGCTTGATTTTGGCCCAGAACGCTAAGCTTCGCGGAGCCACCGTCATCGGGACGACGTCCACGCCGCAGAAGGCAGAATACGCAAAGGCTTATGGCGTAGACCGCGTCATACTGTACCCTTCCGAGAGCACGGTTGACCGGGTGCTCGAGCTCACGGGTAGGCAGGGTGTTGAGGTAATATATGACGGTGTGGGGAAGGATACGTGAGCAATTATCTTGGCGATGCGCAGACGGACATACTGATCATCGTCTTGTTAGGTTTGAGGACGATTTGAAGATGATCAGGCGCAAAGGCACTCTTGTATCCTTCGGATACGCGTCAGGGCTTGTCCCACCGGTTCCCCTGACCAAATTGGTGCAGAAGAACATTAAGCTCGTGCGTCCTACGTGCGTCCCTCTTTTCCCCTAGTATATCAACTCACCTCACGAGACTTCTCATACAGTATCTCGAACTACTTGGCGACCTTGGAGGAGAGAAATTTCTACGGGAACGAATTATTCAAGCTACTGGCGAGCGGTGAGGTGAATTTCAATGTCTTCGGAGAGTATCCATTCACAGTGAGACGTAGTGGAAGTCGACGATGTGCGGCGATGAGGTTTGGTCTGTCCATGAAGCTGGCGCCTGCGGGGCCCGTTGAGCAAGCAATTGGAGCAATGATACGGTGGTAGTACAAAGGCAGGTCTGGCGCGGCTCCCTGATGGGGGCAGGCGCTCCGGCGGGTGGCCAAACGCGAACCCGCGAGAGCCTCGCCGGCGTACACCATTCCTGCACGATATCTTCGAGCTTCCACACCGTATAACTTCCATAAACCCTCACAGACTTTCCGAGCCATACTTTCCATTATGCGGCAATCCGTGCTTTTCATTTGTCTGGTTATTGTTATGTCATTGGTTGCGCCGCAGGAGAAAATTCAGCAAGTCATCTCTGCATGTGAAGTTCCATAGCTCATTGCCGTGCAGCAAGGAAGGGAAAAGGAACATCCCTGTGCTCAAGGGTGCGCCACGCCCCGCCAAGCTACCTGAAACGACCCTGGGAGCCCTGTCTGCCGAGATCGGCGGAGAAAACGCGACGGTGGCAAACGCGGCCGCGGAGAATGTAACGATCCAACACTCAACGGCGGCGCGGTCGATGGCGAAGGGTACGAACAGTGAGGGTCAGAGGTCGGGCACGGAATTAGCAGCGTAGAGGGGACACGAGTGCGAGCTGCAAACAGGCGAGGGAATCAAAGGTAAGTCTCGCACTTACTAAGTGCTGCAGGTGGCACGGTGAGTTGTTTATTCACGTTGGCCTGGTAGGGCAGTGTATCGTAAATCTTACGGTGTCGTTCTTGATCGAACGAAGATGTTGTGGCACCATGGCAAGTATTCATATATTCATAGATTAGTGAACGAGCAGGTCCGACCAGCGGGGACTTGATGTACTTCAAGCAGTTGTATCTTTTCCTTTATGAATTGGGGGAGTGACTCCGTAGCTCAGAGGTTAGAGCATACGATTGCAGCCAGGCGCTTATCGTGTTGTCGCGTGTTCGACTCACGCCGGGGTCTTTTGACGCGGCGAGCTTATGTATGAATAATCGAATTGTCGCGTGTTCGATCCACGCCAGGGGATCTCGTTTTGCTGTATTCTCGGTCGTGTTGTCGCAGCTGACGTGGTTTGTTTTTGAGCCTGGTTGTGCAGTGTTTGAGGAAGGTTCGTGGGGAGTGCGGCCGGTCGCGGACTACCCCAAAGCTGACGCGCCTGCTGTTTGCAATGCAACTCCGCCGCCACCTCGCCTGACATCTGCACGTAGCTGTCGTGCTCCCTTGATCAGACTAGTTACCTTGTGAGATCTGAATGCTGCGAGCTGAAGACCATGCCACAGATCGAGAGAAGGACTTGATTCACAGGGAGATACAAAATGTACTAGTCGGATGTTGTGTCTCACATCCCGGAGCATTTCAGAGACATTGAGACTGGGTGCGAGGTTAGTTAGACAAAGACGAGGTAACGACTGAGGCACATACGTAGTAGGCATTCGAAACCGTGCAGGTCGTTCCGGAAACACAGGTTGTCCTGGATGCCCATATGAGTATGACGAAGAGTTGAGAAAATACCTTACTTACGGGCCAGTATAAGTCTGCCCACCACACTATTATTGATCGATGTGAGTAGAGCTCAAATCATGATGCGTGCAAACGCACCTGGCCGTATTTGGCGACGGTACTTGTCGACGTTGAGCTCGGGACAGACGATGTCTTCGAGACAGATGAAACACTCGAGACGGTAGACGTTTTGGACACGGTGGATGATGCAGTCGAGGAGGCAGTGGACGACGCAATAGAGCTCACTGCGCTACTACTCGCCGCGCAGGTGTCTCCGCAGCCGCTGTGCTGGGCGCATCCCCAATCCCCAGTGCCTCCTCTAGTGACGCGATAAGTGTAAGCCACGGTTTAAAAGTGGAAACGTGATGACTTACGGTAACAAAACATTTCCACCTGCAGATGCGATCGTAATCAGCGATTGCATCAGGACTTCAGTTAGTTCAAGGAATCACCTGGGGGAACGTAGCAAGTCAACCCATCTTCGATCTCCCAGAGCTGCACTAAAACACCGCTTGTGTCGTTGCTTCAAGGGAAATGGTAAGCGATGACCATCATAGCCGTCAACCAAGAAAGACGGACGGATTGTATGCGCCAGGAAGGTCAATCCCCGTCGGGAGCGTGGTGCTTCCCCCGTTCTGGACTTCGATCTGTACGCAGTTCCTACACAAAAGATGAGTCGTGAATGTCGTCTATGGCGGAATATTCACAAACGGGTAGAATTGTGCTCCCATGTACGTGCCGGCGACGTGTAGCCCGAGTAACTGGGAGACGAGTCAAATCGAGTCCGTACTGAATAGCACGGAGAGACCTCACCTCGTGTCGCAACAGATACTGTCCGTTTGCCAAACCAGCGGGGATGGTTACCTGGTACTGGGATGGTGAGAGGTGGAGGAAGCTCTCTCCCCAGATAAGGGATGCGCGGTTCGGGTTGTCTATCGAGAGATGGGTAAATGGGGGAAATAACTTGGTGAACTCACTCACAGGAATCCTGATCGATCTCTGACGATTCGAACGCATCAACTGATGAACACCAGACGGAGAGACGTACACTTACTAACCCAGACAGGTCCACTGTCACCTTTGAAGTTCGCGCAGCCACCAGTACAGCTCGCAATATATGTCATCAACTAGATAACAACCTTCTATGAGGTCTGCATCTCTGTGAACATGTGCTCGGCGCTCACCGGGCTACGAAGAGGGCCGGTCCCACCAATGAGCTCGCGTAACGTTGTGTTGCCGTGACAGCACTCACCCAGGATGGTCGGAGCTCCAGCTTTCAGAATGGGGTCAGAAAAACATATGGGCGGGAAGAAAGCTCCTTACGATCCCCAGTCAAATATGACGTTACTCCCTGCGTTGACCGGAGCGAGCACGCTGACGGGTGTGTTTCCTCCGGGCTGGAGAATAGGTGAGTCGACGTAGAGTAGAAAGTTACATGTGACGCACCCCACAAGTAACGTCTGGAGTAGTAAAATCCGGCACAGGGCCGTAAGTGTCGAGCTTGCGGAGAGGGCTGCTGGCGTTGGCGGAGGCATAGGCATCCGCAGCTGTCCACGTAGCAGGGGGTGAGAGAGTGTAGAAGGTATGCACCTGCCCATGTCCTAGGACAGACGGCACGGCGAAGAGTGTCACTGCTAGCGAGAAGGTAGACAAGAACATCGTGAATGCAGGGCGCGCGCGGACGCCGTTGCTCAGCAGGTGCCATCTTATAGAGCGTGAAGGCATGAGCTGCTGAGGTTCCGTGGTATTTCCTTGCAGATCCCAGGGGCCATATTCCATGGAATGTCCGGGCATATAGAGTCTACATTCGGGAGACGGGTGCCCTGTGTCGACGTCACGGAGACCGAGGCCATTCGTGAGCTGACGACCTTTTCCCAGTCTGTGACACCGGCAATTTTATTGCCTCGTCCGTTTGGACATGGCATAGAGATTTTTCCGAGAGTGGAACATCGTCGGATGCAAAGACGAATGCGGGGCAGCCTGTGGATGCGAATACCCCAGGAAGCGAGGTACACTAGCGGAGCGACCCTTGTCTCCGGAAGTAAGAAAGGTGGTCACAGGTGCACATAGTGTCAGGCTTGCGGTCGGAAGAGGGCCTGTCGGGACTGATGTCGGATACACGTCGATGAAAAGGTGCCGACAGGCCCCAAAGCAATTGAAGGCGCGTCGAGCGAATTGACAGGAATTGACGCGCGCGGACGTCCGCCACCACGTGATGAGAATCCCGTATTCCGAGCAATCCCGTAAGCATCCGTTCGGCTTGTGCAAGACCAAGTACTTACGACGACCAGCGACAGCGACAAGACGACGACGGACTCATGAAATGGACGCGAGAACTGTTGGTGGACATGGTATGTGGGGGCCGGTGACAGCGACGCTCGATTGGTGTGAGGTACGCGCTTTCAATTGTCGACCCGATTGTCGAGATCTCACGGATGGCAATAGGCGAACTATCAGTTTTCCCAATACATCGCCGAGGTTGCAAACACGTTCTCTAACCTCTTCTCAATCGCTGTGGCTGTCTACGGAGCTCGTCGTGCGATCAAGCAATCTCTGCCAGCGCGCTATGTCGCTGGGTTCACCGTCCGTCACATCTTCCCTTCGTCGTAATTTCTATGCATATCGACTTCCTCGGGACACAGGGGTTCGCTCTCGTGGGGATCGGTAGCTTTGCATTTCACGCAACCCTGCTCTATGAAGCACAACTGGCCGATGAACTCCCTATGATCTATCTGGCAAGCTACATCAGCTTCGTTCTCCTGGAGACTGAACCGGGCTATGGCCTCAAATCGACGTACAGCCGGGTTCTCTTGGCTATGTCTCTTCTTTTCGACGGTCTGTTCACATTGAGCTAGTGAGTTCCCCGTGTCTCCAAGATAGACACCTCATAATGAACGACGGCATTCAGTTACTTGTATCGCAATCCTGTGTACCATCAGGTGGTATTTGCGTCTCTCATGCTCGCGACCGGTCTCCGCGCGCATTACCTTCGAACATGGTCGGAAGCTTCCAGGAGATTACCGGACAGACACAAGGACGCGTTTTTGGAACTTTTTATTGGCGGCGCTGGCCTATTTTTGCTCGGATTTCTAATCTGGAATCTTGACAATATATTTTGTGACACGCTCACTCGATGGAAGAACATAATCGGATGGCCGCTAGCATTTCTACTGGAGGGTATGCATAGATCTACATCTTCTCAATGGTTGAGCTTGGACTTACTTGGGATGCAGGGCACTCCTGGTGGCACGTACTCACTGTGCGGCATATTTTCGGCTGCCGATTTTCTGTATTGACCCTCTTTTCAGGGATCTGGATCGTACTTTCTCCTGCAAGGTGTTGCATGTGCGCAGTTCCTCTGTTCTCGCCGTACACGATTACTCACCCTTATGTCTACAGATCTGTGAGTCGTTGGCCTGCGCGCGACGCGGGATCCTGCTGATAAATTTATATAGGACATTGTGTATAAAGGACGACCGCCATAATTATCAGACTAGTCGATGGCTCGGTCTGCCGCTCATTTATAGGACGGAGAAGGCAAAGGCGACATAGGAGAAGCTCGCTAGATATTACAATGTGTTACATCATCTTCATTGTGTATCCCTGCATATGTAGACAGTAGTAGTGTCGATTATCCTCCTGTTTGAATTTTTCTGCGTAATTACCAGGTTCATCAATGCCCACTGGCAGCTCTCCGGAGAGAGGGGTGAGAAGTGAGCAAGCGCGCGCGCGAGGCCAGACATCCAGCTGTCTCGGGTCCTTGACTTATTCGGGCCGAGGGGTGCGTTGCAAGGGATGGATTGCGGTCCCTGGGCGCATCTCGGCGAACCCCGCAAGAGGGTCCGCCTCAAGCCAACTCGTGAGGACGTAGTACGTAGCGAGTAACGTAGGAGATCTAGATCAGAGATATACGAAGCAAGAGAAGCGTGATGGGATCGTAAGAGAGGGGTAAGCGAGATAAGAAAGTAATCGGAGAAACAGATTAGGGAGGTGAGGTGGGGCGACAAGAACTGCGAGCGGCGCGTAAGAAACGAGATGAAGAGCAGCGCGCTCGCAGGCAAAGCTATATAGATACTAGCCAGAGTGGCTCAGAAACGAGGCGTACATACGATACAAAGGGAAGCGGTCCGGAAATCCCGCGCTGCGTGCAGCGCGGGGAATCGGAAGCCGAGAATCCGTGCCGCCGGCATAGACCCCGGGCAACCAAAACCTTGCCCGCCCAAGTTCATGCACGTCAGCTGACCTGCCCGCCGGATCACCTGACCAACGCGTGTCCGCGTTCTGCTGGTGTTCCTGGGTTATCTCTCCTTCGCAGCTTCCTACAACCACGCCCAAATCAGACGACAGAGATGCACAAACTCTTCACCTTCATCCTCTTTGTCTACTTTACCGCGGTCGACGGGCGGCTCGTTCGCGTGGATCGCAGGGTGGCAGCGGCAGGGCACGAGGCAAGGTAGGTTTTG